CCCATGGCTTTTGCAGAAACACCCTTGCAACATGTCTTGAGCTGTGTTGCTCCTAGAAGCAGGCCATCTTTCATTCTTTGATCATGCAGCTGTTACCAATACTAAGATGTCAGATTATGCAGAAGCTAGCAGTTTTGTGGATGAAAAACAGCTGCCTCAAACTCCACAAAGGGCTACTTTGGTATTTCCTTAATAATAATGTTCTTCAAGAAAACCTTACACATCACTTTTTTAAACTCTGCCTTCCTAAGGAGGGAAGACATGCAGCTCCAAACATTAGAAGTGTTAAAAACACCATACAACTTAAAATAATTACCGAAGCTGGACAACCTGCAGTGACAAAATGTCTTGTTTAACTTTCCACCTAAAAATAAACTGCAGAACATGTAGTTGAACCTAGCTCTTGGCATATCATCCTATTCCGTATGCTGGGAGCTGATGCATTTCAAAGTGAACATCTGCATGTATGGATTTCAACTATGTTAAAATATGGCTGGATATCTTAAGGCATTTTTTGTTTTTTAGTTTTGTAGCATAGCCCCAGTTCTTAGAGTTTTCTTGTGATAAAAATTTTGGAGGACATTTTTGATACTCTTTAGATGCCATGTACTTCCTGAGAATTGCTGGTTCAAAGAGCTTATATAATTTATTTGTACAAAAAGAAAGTGTTGGAAGAACAAGCTAATCCTTAAAAAGCTGCAGCTATCTGAAATAGAATATGTTCTCTGGGTTGGATAGAAAGATTTTGTACTTCCCTTAATGGTCGGAGCGTGTTGCTTATATTGTACATTATACATTGTTGCTTATAAGTACATTATATATGTACTTATATTTTAGTAGAAACTTTATTGGGGGCAGTTTATAGTAAAGATAGCCATCTTATAAAGTACTGTGGTTCATCTTGGAGGAGGAGAGGATATAAGTGTTCTGAATCTGACAATGTAACTTAAACAAAGGAAAAAACTCACAAACAAACTAGCTTTTAGCCCTAAGTTACTTTTTATAGTAAACCAGACAGTAAAGGATTGGGTAGCAGTGGAGTCTCAAAGTGAGAATATATTTGACCCATTTTTTCTAATATGCCAATTGACCCAGTGTATCCAATTCATATTTCAGTGTACATGTTAGCGGCATGAGTTTAATGCCAAAAATGAATGTGTATATTTTGTAGTAGAAAAATTTTTGTCCTGGTAGATTGTATAGAAAATTCTGAATAAGTCACTTCAGTTTGAGGTGGGTTTTTTGCATTTGCTAATAAGAATAATTTCTCATGTTGTTTTGGCTTTTTTTAAGATCCACTTTTTAATTTTACTATATCACAATTGTACTTTGTCCACAGAAAGCTGATTGAAAGAGCCTTATTTGAGTTTGAAAGAGAACAGATTATGTATCAACATTTAAAATGGACTTGGAGCATTTGGCATTTAGTTACAGCTGCTCTTACCTGACTAAGATAACTTTATGTTGAAGTAATCACTTGAAGAGATTTTAAATTAATAATAGCTGTTCTCAGTAAGTAGGTTATGTTTATATTTTAATATATCACTTCCTATTGTTTTAGAGAAAAAGATTCAGTCTACAGTTATCACAAAGGTGTTTGCTTTACTTGTTCCTTAGTAGTAGTTTAATACAATTGGCATAGGAGTAATCCCCTTGAAATCAATAAGGTTGTGGTGGTTTTAAATAGGCATGTGGTAAATTGATAGAATTGAGAGATGCCACAGAGAAGTTTTGCTAATACAGACTACTGAAAATTTGGTCTTGTTATGCTTGGCAATATTTCTATTTGAGCATGTGAGAATTTTTACCCCTCTTCAGTTTGCAAAGTCATTTGTATATTGTGTATTTCCATTCAATTTCTATTTGTATGCAAAGGGTTCTGCCTATGTTCTGTGCATCTCTGAATTTAAGTACAGAGGCAACTGAGAACTAAGAAAAGGGGTTACTTTCTGTGGTACCTCTAATATAAGGAGCACTGGGTTTGTATGGCCAGGTTTTGGTAGTGGGACAGCTCCAGGGGTGGCTTCTATGAAAACCTACCAGAAATTTTCTCCATGTCTGGCAGAGATATTCCCAGCCAGTTCCAGGATGGACATGCCTCTAGTCAAGGCTGGGCACATCAGAAATGGTGGTAGTGCCTCTCTGATGACATATTTAAGGAGACTTGAAAAAGTTTTGCAGAGTTGCAGTTGTGCTGAGAGAAGAGCAGGGTGACAGCATGTGAGAGGAGCAGCCCTGCTGACACCCAGGGCAGTGCAGAAGAAGGGACAGGAGGTGCCCCAGGCACCGGAGCTGAGGTTCCCCTGCAGCCCCTGGTGCAGACCATGGGGAGGCAGCTGTGGCCCTGCAGCCCCTGGAGGTCCCTGGAGATGCAGAGATCCACCTGCAGCCCCTGGAGGTCCCTGGAGATGCAGAGATCCACCTGCAGTCCCTGGAGGTCCCTGGGGATGCAGAGATCCACCTGCAGTCCCTGGAGGAGACCCAGGCCACAGCAGGTGGATGCCATGGGAGGCCCGTGCTGGAGCAGGGTCCTGGCAGGACCTGGGGGGGACCCACACTAGAGCAGGCTGTGCCTAAAGTACTGCACTGCATGGAAGGGACCTGTATTGCAACAGTTTGGGGATGACTGTTGCATATGAGATGGATTCATATTGGAGAAGTTCATGGAGAACTGTCTCCCATGGGCAGGATCCCATGATGGTACTGGGGAAGGACTTCTCTCCCTAAGCAACAGCAGGAATGTATGATGAACTGACCATAACTTCCATTGCCTGCCTCCCTGCACTTGCTAGGGGGAGGAGACAGAGCTGGGAAGGAAGGGTGTTGCGAGGGGAAAGGTGATTTTAAGATCTTGTTTTACTTCTCATCATCCTGCAATAGGATTGAGTCTGTTTTGTTTGTGTATTTGGTGTGTGATCTCTCATAGTCCTTAACTTGTGAACTCTTCATTATATTTTCTCTCCTCTGTCCTCTTGTCACTGGGAGTGACAAGCTCTGGTGGGCATCTGGCATCCAGCTATGGTCAATTCCCAGCATAGGGTTTACTTTAATTACTGTTATTTAAATCATTCTTAGGTGTTCATAGTTGATATTTCAACACTTGTATCACATGTATTTTAACACCTAAATTACTAAAATCATGTCATAGTCTCTTGCTCACAGAGGAGTGTACTGGTAAATGTTCTTAACTCTCCCATATACTTGTAATCTGGATAAAATAATTCAGCCTTTCTCTTAATTCTGGAGGCCATCTCTATCCACATGGATGACTGGAAGGTGACCAGGAATAGTCAGTATGGATTCACTGCAGATAAATCATGCTTAACCAACCTGATTGACTTTGGTGATGGCAGAACTACCTGGACAGATGAGGGGAGAGCAGTAGAACCTCGACGTCAGCAAGGCTTTTGACACTGTCGCTCACAACATCCTTGTCGGAAAACTGGAGAGGTGTGGGTTGGAGGAGAGGACAGTGAGGTGGATTGAGAACTGGCTGAATGGCAGAACCCAGAGGGCTGTAATCACTGGCACAGGTCTAGTTGGAGGCCTGTCACCGGTGGTGCTCCCCAGGGTTCAGTACTGGGCCCAGTATTGCTTAACTCACTCACCAGTCACCTGGGTGAAGGGACAGATGCCTCCTCAGCGAGTTTGCTGAGCACGCAGAGCTGGGAGGAACGGCCAAGACCCCAGAGTGCCGTGCAGCCCTTCAGAAGGACCTCAACAGGATGGAGAGATGGGCAGAGAGGAATCATCTGATAATTCAACAAGGGTGAATGCAAGGTCCTGCACCTGGGGAGGAACAACCCCAGGCACCAGCACAGGCTGGGACTGACCTGCTGGGGAGCAGCTCTGTGAGTCCTGGTGCACAACAAGCTGTCCATGAGCCAGCAGTGTGTCCTGGTGGCCAGCAAGGCCAATGGGATCCTGGGGGGCATTAGGAAAAGCTTTGCCAGCAGGTGGAGGGAGGTGATCCTGCCCTTGTACTCATCCCTAGTGATGCCTCACATGGAATGCTGTGTCCAGTTTTGGGCTCCTCAGGACATGGAGCTCCTGGAGCAGATCTAGCAGAGGGCAGTGAATTTGATTAGGGGACTGGAGCATCCCTCCTACAAGGAAAAGCTGAAGAGAGATGACTGAATGGGGACATGATCAATGTCTACCAGTATCTGATGGGAGAGTGTCAAGAGGCTGGAGCCAGGCTCTGCTCGGTGGTGCCAAGCAATAGGACAAGAAGCAATGAGCAGCAACTGATGCACAGGGAGTTCCACCTAAATGTGAGGAGGAACTTCCTCACTGTGGGATTGACTGAGCACTGTAACAGACTGACCAGAGAGGCTGAGGAGTCTCCCTCACCAGAAATAATCAAGCACCATCTGGACACAATCCTGTGCCGTCTGCTCTGGCATGACCCCGCTGGAGCATGGAGGTTGAATGAAGTTGGACCAAATGACCCACTGTGCTATCTTCCAACCTGACCAATCTGTGATTTTGTGATTTTAGTTATTTATTTTGTAGTCTTACACTAGGTGAGACCCCAAAGGTTGCACTCTGTCCCAAAACTGCCCTGAGGCACAGGTACCTAGCGCCACAGGCATAGTGAATTACAGGAAGAGATGCAATTGATAAATAGCTGTAAGGATCAACTCCTACATAGGAAACAAGGAAAAAAGTAGCCTTACTTTTAATGTACTTTCACATTTGTTGATAACTGTATTTAATTTCTTGATTTATTCTTTTTGCTCCAATAGAATAGTGAAGCAGATTGTGGTGACAATGCAGTTTTTCTTCAACAAAATGATTCACACATAACCTTCTAAAATAAAGTTGAATTTGCAGTTGTGGAAAACCAACTAATTTTGCCACATTTTATTTTACTTTAATACCTGAAAATGGGGATTATAAAAATAAGAAAACAAATGACTGTTTAAAATGTTTTATTACAACACTGTGTATTGCACTTGCTTCTTACTTATCTAGTTATCTTTCTACTGTGTTCTTAGGAGATTCTAAGGAATGAAAATTACAGAGAAGAAATGAAGCAGAAAGTCAAGGAAGTATCTGAAAAGGATAAGCTGCTTCAGGCCAAGGAGTATGAGGAAGGACTTGTTGCTGAACCAAGTCATACTCAGGTTAAAGGCCATGCATCTGCCCCTTATTATGGAAAGAAGGAGCCCTCACAAGACCCCACAAGCACTGCAAATACCTTCCAGCCAGGTGCCTGGATGCCACCAGGCAGTGGGAGTAGTCAAAATAAATAAGCAATTTAACGGACAGATGTTGTTAATGGATAAATATGGTAACAGATGACATACACAGTTGTTATATACAATAGTAAAATGAAGTAGTATTATAAAGCAGTTTCAGTTACTTTTGCAGAACTATTGAAATAGGCTTAATCACAACAAAGTATTTGGTTTAGTGAAAAACAGGATGTGTTTCTCAGCCTGGTTATGACAGTTGCTGTTCATCAGTTACTCTTGAATTCAGAGTTAAAAGACTATCTAAATTTTCTTAAATTCTAAATTGTTTTTTTCCTTAAAGACTAATTTAGTTTTAAAACTGATCTTGAGGTGAGAATTGTACTCAGTACATTTTCCCAAACCTTGGCCAAGATCTCTCTTCAGAATAAATCCCTTGGCAGTGCCAGCGCGCTTTCTGCTGGCAAGCAGACGGAAAAGTTGATTTCATTAACAGGAATCACTGTGACCCTACACTGATTACACACTGTACTCATAGTAGAGATGTTCTTGTAACTTACAACAGTCAACATATTTGAATGTTTGATTTGCAGACAGCAATTTTCACAGGGTAAAATCAAGTTAAACTACATATAACTGCTATCATGGAAGCTAGAAGTAATTGGTAAAGCTGCTGGAAAATAGCACTAGGTCTGGGACAAGGGACTGTCATGAATATTTAACTAAATAAATTGGTTTTTATTCCTGGTATATCCATGGACTTCCCTAGATGTTTAGATAATTTTGGCCATAGTTTAGAGACATAAAATGTGCAGATGATTTGCTTAGAGACGTTTGAGAACTTCAAATAAAAACAGAGACCACACAATTTTTTTTCAAAAAGTATCAAATTTATTTACGGTGCGTATCCCTCATCCGTTTTCTTCCCTGTGTTTCAAGCTATGTAGGTATCAAAGGTCAAACACATTTTTTGACATATTTGACAACACCATACAAAACATGGAGACTTAATCTCACATATTTATAAAATGCCCAAATGTCATATTCTAATAATGCTTGCTTTCACCAACAAAATTGAAAGGGGTCAACTTCACACTTACTTAAAGTAATTTCAGTTAGACTCCCCAATTCTGATCCCCCTTGGTGTCAGCCAGCTCTTTAAGTCTCTTCAGTTGAACAATGGTATTATTTTAAGGTTTTATTTTTAAACCTGATCAAAGAGTAGCTGCTAGAATGCACAACTCTATGCTGCTGTTTAGAAATATGTTAAAAGGAAAATCTCAATGACTGCTACAAGTTCTTTTGAACTAGACTATGTAGAGGCCAACACAGACTATTATTAAAAAATTATTTGAAAAATTATTCAGTTCTGTTAAGAAGAGATTAATTGGAAATAAGGTTAAATAATTTTGATGTATTTACAACACAAACCTGACTTTTTTTTTATTATGTCAGCATCTTGCAACCTGTAAGGCAGCAGAGTTTCAAGGGCCATGAGAACAAAAATTCAATCCTTAGATCAAAGGTAGCCAGGTTAGCAAGCAGAACTGCTGTCACCTGCTTGTGCATCATCCTTGCACAGCCATCTGCTATAGGTCTCTGGGACTCAGAACAGTAGGCTACCAGGGTCTTTGGTCTCACCCCATTTATGGCTATTCTTTGAGACATAAGGAGTTCATGAAGGCAAAAACAAATTAGTTGTAGGTGGAGCATTCAGGTGATTGTTAGGGAAGACCAAACAACAGTACTGTATTTTACGGAACATGAGTGCCTTATGAGAAGTGACGCTAACAAGAAGCTAATACTAACACGCAGTTTCCTAGAACTTGAGCTAAAGGCTGTTGATGGCTTGTAGTTCAGGAAACAGGAAAAGCTAAGGTAGGTTATTTGTGCAGACAAGCACCACCATCAAAGACACTGCAGCAGCCACTGTGGGCACACACAGCCATAGGCAGTGACCTTAAAGGAAATCAGTCATGTCTGCTATCTAATGCTACAGCTAGCTTGTCTCTACAGCCCTGCTCAAGGTATGCCAAAACTTGCATTCGTGTAATCCAGTTTATTATTCACATTTTCCCCTAAACTTGACAATTTTAAGACACTTGTTAAGTCATAGCTCAGCTAAGAGAAAAAAAAAAATCTACCTTCAGAGCCACCCAAGAGGTTAATTTTTTAATTTAACATGCAAATTTAGAAAAGCAACCTGCACTGGAATACAAGTTGTAAATTAAATTACCCTAACAAGTGTCACTTGGGCAAATTTTAACACAAATCAGCAGGAAAAAAATACACTGGAAGTATTAAATTTCATACTTCAAGAAATAATAGGATCAAGTATTAAAGGACAGTTACAACACAAAATGTACAAGTATTTCATTTTAAAAGTGGATTCTTTGCACAAGGAAGGCCGTTTTGCCTGTTTAATCCTTCTTTGTTCGTTTGGCTTTTGCAATGTTCTCCTGGCGTTTCTGTTTCTTCTTCTGCTCTCGTTCCCGGGCCTCGATCATTTTCGCAAGCTTCCATGACAGTGCCGCACTAATTACAAACAGCGGCGTGAGAGCCAAGATCACGGTCGTGAGAAAGCCGTAGGGGTCCTTGGCAGCCCACTCCACGATGTACTCGGCCCAAGCCTTAATATCGAACATCTTTTCTGTTTTCCTATTGAGAAATATTGTGGGATATTTGAAAGAACAGTACTCAGCAAAATGAGTACTCAGCAAAATGAAAGCACACGTACACAAGAACAAAACGCAAGAAGTTCCACCTTCACATGGGGAAGAACAACTTTACACTGAGGGTGGCTGAGAACTGGAACAGGCTGCCCAGGGAGGTCATGGAGTTTCCCTCTGGAGATAGGCAAAGCTCACGTCGACAGGTTCCTGTGTCACCTGCTCTAGGCGACCCTGCCTTGGCAGTGGGGTTGGACTGGCCGATCCCCAGCGGTCCCTTCCAACCCTAGGATACCAAGTGACATTTTAATATAAGTTGTCATTATTGATAGTTGTTCGATATCAAAGTGCAGGGCTATTTTTGCTAGAAGTTAAAAGCAGTGCATAGTACGTGAAAGTGTAATACAAAGCATTGATCCGACATTAAAGTTCAGTGATTATAGAATAATTAGGCATTTAATCCAACAGAGTTGCAAATGCTACCAAGAATATACTGCTAAGTGGAAAAAGAGGCGGTCTGTGTCTCTCTGGAAGTGAAGGAAAGCCAGCCCGGTTGGTTTGTCTGTGTAGGTTTCAGCAGGGAGGCGCGGAGTGTTTTTGGGTGCTGTACTGCCGGCAGCGGGGCAGCCAAACCCACCGCAGCGCCTCCCTGGCGAACAGCTCCACCGCCTCCCTGGAGCCTCCCTCCCTCCCTCCT